ACTAAAAAATATTTGTTACATACCACTAAAAACGTGTGTAAGATTATGAGTTTTCTAGCTGTTAAACCTTCAATAATTGTAGGGATTAGGTCTCAATTATGGACATTTTTACACTTGTGAAGAGACAGTGATGGAGATATGCTTGGCTCTTTGATGGAGTCATTTTGCATGTCTTCCCCATTTTCAATTGATGTTTATGTGACAAGAGAGTTTGTAGAGTGGCTCTAGCTTCAGTTTTTCTATGGATGTGATTAGGTCCAATTTTTCTAAGGGATTCCCAACAAAGTTCGGCGAACATTCAAATCTAATATATGGTTGATGTGTTCAACTATTTAACGCTAATGTATAATTGTTTTTATCATAGTCGTTTTGTCCATCTTCCCCGTTTTCAATTAATGTTTATGTGAAAAGAGAGTTTGTGGAGTAGCTCTAACTTCAGTTTTTCTATGGATGTGATTAGCTCCAGTTTTTCTAAGGGGTTCCCAACAAAGTTTGGCGAACATTCAAATCTAATATATGGTTGATATGTTGAATTATTTAAAACTAATGTATAATTGTTTTTATCACAGTCGTTTTGTCCGTCTTCCCCATTTTCAATTAATGTTTATGTGACAAGAGAGTTTGTGGAGTGGCTCTAGCTTTAGTTTTTCTATGGATGTGATTAGCTCCAGTTTTTCTAAGGGGTTCCCAACGAAGTTTAGCAAATATTCAAATCTAATATATGATTGATATGTTGAATTATTTAAAACTAATATATGATTATTCTTATTAGAGTCGTTTTGCCCGTCTTCCATTTTTTCAATTGATGTTTATGTGATAAGAGAGTTTGTGGAGTGGCTCGAGCTCCATTTTTTTTATGGATGTGACTAGCTCCAGTTTTTTTATGGGGTTCCCAACAAAGTTCAGCAAACATTCAAATCTAATATATGGTTGATATGTTGAATTATATAAAACTAATGTATAATTGTTTTTAATATAAAAAAAAAAAAGAAAAAAAAAAGAAGAAAAGATGATTGATATGGTGAATTATTTGAAATTAATGCAAGGTTGTTTCTCTGATGCATTGATTATGTATAGAATACGATTAATTATACCAGTTATAGTTATTTCTAGAGAAAAAAAAAATTCAAATTTAACATTAATTAAATATTACTTTCGGTCAACTATGTTACAATAAAACTTTAATGGATTAGCAATTTTATCATTGAAAATGATTTAATTGATAAGTGAATTTGCAACCTTGATCAATAATTTAGCAGTTAAAAATGCAAAATTATTGAATAATATGATTGATATGTTTATGTGACAAGAGAGTTTGGGGAGTGTCTCTAGCTTCAGTTTTTCTATGGATGTGATTAGCTCCAATTTTTCTGAGTGGTTCCCAATAAAGTTCAGCGAACATTCAAATCTAATATATGATTAATATGTTGAATTATTTAAAACTAATATATAATTGTTTTTATCAAAGTCGTTTTGCCCGTCTTACACATTTTCAATTGATGTTTATGTGACAAGAGAGTTTGTGGAGTGGCTCTAGCTTCAATTTTTCTATGGATGTGATTAGCTCCAGTTTTTATAAGGAGTTCCTGACAAAGTTCGGCGAACATTCAAATCTAATATATGGTTAATATGTTGAATTATTTAAAACTAATGTACAATTGTTTGTATCAATAAAAAAAATGATTAAAAAAAAAGAAAAAAAAAAGATGAATGATATGGTGAATTATTTGAAATTAATGCAAGGTTGTTTCTCAAATGCATTGATTACGTACCGAGTATGATTAATTATACCAATTACAGTTATTTCTAGAGAAAAAAAAATTCAAATTTAACATTAATTAAATATTACGTTCGGTCAACTATGTTACAATAAAACTTTAATGGATTAGCAATTTTGTCATTGAAAATGATTTAATTGATAAGTGAATTGTGCAAGCTTGATCAACAACTTTGCATTTAAAAATGCAAGAATGATCTTCAAATGATATTTTGTTACAGTTTGTTCACTTTTTATTTAGTAGTTGAGCTCAAATTATTTTGATCATTTTTCTTATTGTAATCTCTATTACAAATTTAAGTAAATTTTACTAGTTGTATATGGAAGTAACATTTTTGTAAGTACAATATAAAAAAAATATACATAATCCTTTGGTCATAATTTTTTTTAATATATAAAAGGCCCCATATTAGGGTCTCAAAAATGTCAGAGTGCCTTGCTTTTTCCTATTATAATAATAAAAAATTAATTTCTCAACTTAATATATACAATTATACATGGAATAAGAATGCTTAGTAATTTTTCATTACTTGACTTTTATTTGCTTTGTATTTCTAATAATCACATATTGACAACCAAAATTTTCATTGTTTGTTTGTAATAGTAATTTGGCTCCTTTTTTATTATTATTATTATTATTATTATTATTATTATTATTATTAATGAACATGTACTATAAGTCTTTTTTACTTCAAAACGTTGTCTTATGTGAGATAAGTTGTATAAAGATTGTATATTTATTATATAAAAATACCAACCAACCAACCAAACCAAGTTTGAAATCCCATTAAATGGAGTCGGTTATATAAATCATTATTCTCTACTTGATTCTATCAAAAACTATTTGGTTAGTCAAATTAAGAAAATTCATGTATCTATTTATTACATTAGTCCACGTCTATATTCATATGTAATGTATGTTTTTTCATCAATAAAGTTTTTTTTTTTTTTGTCAATAAAAAAAATTTTTCATCTACTGTTACCATATCGCATCTCTTCACTATTGTCTCTATTGATCTCTATTGTATATATTCAAACTATCTCAATCTATTCTCTCTCAACTTATTTTTATATTTATTATATAAAAATAAATAAATAAAACTGCGAGACCACCTTTTTATTGATGATGGGCACTTCTTCTTCTTTTTTCTTTTTTTTTTTTACCAAACAATGTTACAATGATTATATTTTGTTATCATGTTTTGTTTACGATTTCATGTGTCAATATTACATTAATAACAAGCATGAGTTGTGGAGCACATTAAACTAATACAATTTTGACATATAAAGCAATAAATAAACTCATAAAGTAATAAATAAACTCTAGTAGAAAAAAAGATGATTATAGCATTAATGATTTTTACTTTTTTATTTGAAATGATATTGAAATTTGAGTAATGTTATAATTGTCATCTATTATCTTATCTTATAATCTAATGTGTAAATGTAGTTATTAGCATTGTATTAGCAGTATACTTTAATAATGAAATTCATTACACTAATATTATGCCAACAAATAAGATAAGATAAAGAATTAGTATTGTTGAAATTTTTTTAATACAATGTAAATTGTGGGACTAATGGCTTGATAAGTTTTAGTTCAAATCTTCGAAGGCGTTGGCTTTTGATTGGAGGGGCCACTCCTTTACGTTGTGTTTGGTTTAAGAACTTGGGGAGGGTCTTGGAAAAAGAAAGGGAAAATATGTGACATTAAGTGAAATATAGATATGTTTTATTCACATTTTACCTACCTTTTTCTATTTTCATTTTTAAATCCCTTCTCAAATTTCCCAATCAAACACAATATTAGAGTTCACAAACTAAATATCAAAAGCACTAAATTTACATATAAAATTCAAAGCCTTGCAGGAGCCATTGCCTCCCTCTGCCCCCATGAGTTCGCCAGGAGTCTAATAATTATTAAATTTAAATTTATTTGAATTTAAGAAAAATTATGTAAATCCAACTTGACCTACTTAACTCAATTCTCATTCGACACGGCTCTCAATATCTTTCTTTTGGCCCTTTTGACAATGTAATCTTGGTTCTACCCTTGTCACCGTGTGACTAATTATTATGACAAGTTTTGACAATTCTCATTCCACACAACTCTCAATATCTTCTTTTGGCCCAGTTGACAAGGTAATCTTGGTTTTGTCCTTGTCACTATGTGACTAATTATTATGACAAGTGTTGACAATTTTGGTGGGATTAAATAGCTATTTTGGACCACCTTATCACTTGTGAAAATGGTCATGCTTGGCTCCTTTTACTAAAGTCCTTTCTAGGGGTTGAATGTTTCTCGAGTTCAATTTTAAATTTAAGAGAATTTGATGGGCCAATGTTTCTCGAGTTCAATTTTAAATTTAAGAGAATTTGATGGGCCAGTGAGCCATAATAGGTTTCGTTTTAATATTTCGAATCGTTTATTTTGTAAGGATTTCAAGATATATTATTAATGAAAAAAAATTAAGTTAATCTTATAATCATAATTTTTCTATTTTTGTCACATTTGTCTCTAAAAAAATAAATGATAAATATATTTATCATAAGAAATTGCACCTTTGGCGATAAAATTTCTAGTCGGCAAAAGTCAAATTTTAGTCACCAAAAAGTTTTTCCTACTTAATAATTTGGTCGCCGGCTTGGTTGTGAGAAGACTGTCAGGGAAAGTATTGGTGACTAAACAATATTTAGTTGCCGAAAGTCCTAAATTGGCAATTAAACAATTAGTCGCCAAAAGGAAAGGTATTAGCGATTAATTTTTTTTAGTCTCCGAAAGTCAACAATTGGCGAGTAAAAATTTAGTCACCCAAAGTTGTCAATAAATGTGTTTTTTTGTTTTAGCGACTAAAATAAGTAGTCGCTAAAAACGTGACTCCTTTTTAGCTACCAATTTTTTAGTCGCTTTTAGTCGCTAAAATCATGATGCCCCTTTTCGACTATTAATTTTTTAATCACCAAAAACTCACTTTTTTGGCTACTAACTATTTAGTCGCCAACAAATTCCCTTCTTATTTTTTGGCTACTAAATGTGTAGTCACCAAAAGCTCTATTTATTAATTTTTTAAAAAAAAAATGCATAAATTGAATATTTTTCATTAATTTCTAAATTATATACACTCCATTATCAATGCAACCTATAACCTGTACATATACAGAATAATACATCTATCAATTATCACCTAAATCCATTATCAATAATACCTATTTCATTATCAACTATCCAAAAACTTTAACTTGTAACATCATATTCCAAATATCATATAAATCCACACCAACCAAGTATAATCCATCTAAATTAAATATTACATATAAAAACACTGGATTTCCAAAACAGAGAGTTGTAGAAAAATAAATGTCTTCCATATACATAACAAATGCTCTCCGTTACACAAAAATAAATATCCACAATAGCCCACACAAAAGCAATCTATAAAATAAATAAATAAATAACCATTAGCACTTGTTCAATAAAATTGACTTTTCAAATTATAATAATTATAAAAAGAAAACTGAATTAAAATACCTTTAATGGGTTAACATGGTGCACTGAAAGAGGAGATAACATAATGAGTTCCATATCTCTGATTAGTTCTTGGGCTATCAAGAGAAGAAATCATAGTCTCTGGCTTGGAGTATGATATTCCTTAGCCCTCCAATAGGTGATACAATCATCAACAGAATTCCAAGTGTAATTCAAACCTGGAAGTTCATTGAATTGATCCAATCTCAGAGATCAACTTCTTTGACAGATCTAATCGACAGAAGAAGAAATATGATGTATCAAATATATACAATATCAAAACAATTCTCTACCACCATCAAAATCCAGAACCTCATTGTATTGAAAGCCATTGATAATTTACTAACCCACGTATATATTGTGTGAAATAAAGCGAAGCATTGTGCTGGGCTTGAATTTTAGCTTCTTGACCAACACTGTTTCTATCATGTCGAACACTGGCATTTAGAAGTGTAAAAATGGCCCGTAGTCCGTAGGCGGGCCCGAAGCCTTCCCGTGGCCCGGGGTGGGCCCGGCCCGAGGCCCGGTGTTATTTTTAGTGAAAAATAATAAAATTTTGGTAGAAAAAATAAAAAAATAAAAAAATTTGTTTAGGCCGGTCCAAGTCCGAGCCCAGGCCCATCAGCTCGACCAAAACCCGAATACCCTTGGGCTTGGGCCTAATTTTCTAGCCCGCAGCCTGGCCCGATTTTTGACAGAAACCTGCAAGGCCCGACATGAGCTGGGCCAAAATTACACCCCTACTAGCATTGCATATAGCTACAAACACAAAAATGCAAAACACATTGTATATATAACGAACTAATTACTAAACTCAATAAGCTTATTGATCTCTTAACACATAGGCCAATGTTTGAACCTGATAGCTTCCGATGACATGGACAACAACAAACATGTTAGCCATAGCAATGAGCCGTGCCGGTTTCTCAAGTGAGATGAGGATGTTGTCTTTGACTTGGTTTTCAAACATCCGATACCCAATGAGAGCAACTAGGAAATAGCACAAAACAACAACGAAATAGGCTAAGAGCACTCCTTTCCACACGGGTCCCTTGGAGGGCTTTTCAGGGGTGGAAGGGATGGTTGCTTGGATCTCCAACACCACATTGTGGCCAGCATAGGCAAAATCTACATCACCTAAGGCTGTGAAGAAGTTGAACACTGTTCCTGCTGGGGTTGTGGCTTTGTAACCATATTGTACATCCTTTTTCACTCCCTTGTGGCGTGAAGCTGTCCAAGCTATTGTAGAGTAACTGTATAACCACCACCACCACCACCACATATTCAACATTTTTATTATTTTTTCCCATTCAATTTCAAACTAGGTAATGTAAAACTACGCGGTTTTCTGTTTATTGAAAGCTGTTTGATTGTGTTTCTGTTTTCTATGTTTTCACTTTTTTCCGTCTCTGATATGAGAGGTTAGTGAGAGGTTACCTCAAAGACATGACAGCGGCAGATATAGAACTAATCGGAGATATAGAACTTAACTGAATTGAAATGGAGCCATTGCCAAAGAAGGAAAACAACAAAGAAACTTAAGAAATCATATCAAACAAATCATTTAAAACAAGATGGATCAATAAACAGAGCATGCTTAATTCTAAAAGACAATTACATACAGTGTGTTGATATAATGAACACATAATTACATAAGAGTAATTTATAAGCTTGCAGCAGTGGTTGTTAGAAGGACACAATTAAACAACACAGCAACTACAACAATCAAACAGATAAACATGAAACAACATATCACGTTGGTATTCATAATAATAAATAAATTTTTTTTTTTTTTAAAAAAAAGAACGAGTGCATGACAATTGATGGTCAAAAGTAGACATTTCCTAACTATGTCTAAATTTGTAATCCTTCACTTTAACCTGCAAAGTCTAAGAACCCCTCTTCAGTGTGATAATGGAAAGAGCTTTCCAAGAATCTTTGAAAAGACTTCAGGATTCCCTGTATAAATTTCATTGAGCATTACAGTTTTCAAAGTTAAATAAGAATGAAAAACACAATGGCATTGTTAACACTACATAGCTAAATAGGACAGAACTAACAAATAAGGCAGATTCAGGGAATCACAAAACAAGAACAATAAACTAACATTTGTTGATATGAAATAATTAAAGAGAAGTTATCATAAATTTCTATGGTGCATATTGAAAATTCTTATTACTCTCTGGCTAAGCTATAAAGTTCATGCAAACAAATGCAATCAAAGTTAAAGAACAACCAGAAAATGAGCATAACTAAAAAAAATTAATGTTGTTTTGCATCATGAATTTGAAAAGAGAAAAGAAAATGTGAAGAAAATATAAGCTACAATTTGACTCTATTTCCCTTAGCTTTTCATTCCATTTCCTTATTTTTACCCAACTTCATGATATCTTAACAGAATCTAAAAATTAGTAAAAGAGAGAGATCATTGGGTTTATTTTCAATACTAAACTGTAATCTTTTCACAATCTAGCAAGCCTTTTGGAAGGAAAAACAAAAAAACAAAAAAAGCACTTGTGAATTTTTTGTCCAACTGCTCTTCTTCTCTCTTCATTGCATAAATAGTTTTGAGTAAAGATAAACTTTCTCAACCTAATTAGAAATTTCAAGCCGCCTTTTATATACTCTTCTAAAACATACCTCTCTAAGAAGACAATTCCTCCTAAAACTTTTGTTGTAGAAGCCAATTGGGGAAATGTAAAAGTTTGGCCAGTAATACGAAAGTTTAGCGAAATGTAAAAGTTTGGCCAGTTACTCTAAAAAACATCGAATGTGCATCATCGTTCTTAGCTTGAGGTATTTTTTGTTATGTGTTTTTTACCTTGAGGTATTTTTTGTTATGTGTTTTTCAAACGTACAACCTTCTAAAATTGACAAGATGTTACATGTGTTTCTAAAATTAACCATTTTTCACATTATCTCACCTTAATGCAGAAGAATAGTTTGAATTGTCATAATTAAAGCAGATTTATTACGTCTAGTTTATGGTAACGTTGTTGAGTGAGGTTATTCACATGTGCCAGCTGAGGCATCTCTGTTTTCTGCGGTTATTAATGCAATTTTATCCTTTCTAAAAAATAAAAAATAAAAACACTCAATGCATCCTGCAAATGGTAATAGCAGTAGGTTTGAGTTCAACTCTAAGAATTCAAGTTAATAGAATCTCAGGCTATTAAAAATTAATGACTACATAGGCTTAGAACTTGGGCAATCTTATTATATCAATGCTTACCAAAATGTCAAACCTTCAGATAAGATGAATCCATGACAACTCAATTGTGTCCAGTCCATGCAGATGACAATGAAAAACAGGATCCCCCAGCAAATCATTGTGAAAATATGGACATAAACTTAAGAGATCATCTTTAGCTGTCACATATAACATATTTCTGAATGCATAAAATAACAGAGGTTGGAGGAACTCAATTCTACAATATTGCTCCAAATTCATTACCTACAACATAGAGTCCATTGAGGCAAATTTTGTGCTACACAAAATAACAAAAAGTAGAGACTAGAAATAACCCTCAAATCTCTTCACTATCAACAAATCACAACTCTTGTTCCAAGCAACAGAGATATGCAAAATGATCCAAAATTTCATCAGCATAATAAGAACTAGTTCTCTACATCAGATAAAGAGTAAAAGCAGGCTGTCAGTGGGTTGAGTCTCATTCATGTTCAATATTCCCCAACAACAACAGAATTAATACAATTCAACACTAATAAGAGGTCCCTGATCAAGAAATGTACAGAGACAACTGCAGATGGAGCTTTGGACAGTGGTTTAAGTTGATGGTAATTCTAGAGTGCGCAACAGCAGCCCAAATATCAGCAGCAGATCTCATAATCTCATGTCTAGCTAATCATAATCTATTAGAAACTTTCACAAACGAAGTCCTAAAGTAAACAAGGGGGAGTGGAAAAAAACTCTTTGACTAACAACACTTGATTTTGACAAACTATTTGCCTCAAACTGAACCCAATAGCAGACCTGCTAATGGATTTCTTTGGAACATTGTTATGACAAGATTTGTCTGCAATGGGATGCCCAATGAAGCCATCTTTTCCAATTTCCGAATAAAAGAAAACCACAAATACCAAGTTTCAGTCATACACATTGTTGCAGATCAATCATACATATTGTTGCAGAAAAAGAAAAAAAAAAAGGGCAGGCAATGTCAAGTTTCAGTCCCTCCTTTGATTCTGTCCTTTATATATGTGTTTAATGAAAACAGAAAACGAATACACAACTCAAACTTTCAAACTGTAAAATGAAATCAAGAAAATTAAAAATGAAAATTTAAGGTCGAAATTTTTGCCGACTGCTCTTCTTAAACTTTGATTTATTATTCAACTCTATCTCAACAATTTCCCTATGGAAAACCTCTTCTATCCAGTCGAAATCAATGCCCAAATTCAAATTTTATATACATATGCATACAAATTATTTTCTTTATCTTCTTAACTTTTTTATATCATAAATCATAAATCATAAATCATGAATCAATGTCATCAAACCGTCAAAAAACAAAAAACCAAAATCACAGTCATTCGTCAATGGCGATGGGTGGGTCGATTTGGGGTTGGGTTTGTGTGAAGGTATGCAAATGGAAGAAGAAAACCCTGGAGGCTAAAATTAGGGGAAGAGAGACTGAAAGACAGAGAGAGGGCAAAATAGAGAGGACATACCTGGGGTAATGCTCCAATGGTTGATTGACGGTGGTGCTCGTGTGCGATGGCGGTGATGCTCCTGTACCCGACGACGATGGATACAAAAGCGAGAGAGAGAGAGCCAGAGGAGGGCAGAGGCGCGAGACAGAAAGAGAGTCAGAGTGAGAGACAGACAGAGAGGTATGAGAGAGAGCATCTCCAATGCAATACTCTCACTTTTATACTCTCACTTTTGACAGAGAGAGGGCAAAATAGAGAGGACATACCTGGGGTAATGCTCCAATGGTTGATTGACGGTGGTGCTCGTGTGCGATGGCGGTGATGCTCCTGTACCCGACGACGATGGATACAAAAGCGAGAGAGAGAGAGCCAGAGGAGGGCAGAGGCGCGAGACAGACAGAGAGGTATGAGGGAGAGCATCTCCAATGCAATACTCTCACTTTTGTTCAAAAAGTAAATATTTTTATTCAAAAAGTAAATAATATTTTTTATTCAAAAAAATAAATATAGAGAAGGTTACTGTTCATTCAAACTCCAATCATAAACTTTCATTTTCTTCATTCAAACTCTATTCAAAAAGTTATTTTTATTCATTAATAAATATTTAATTTTAAAATTTTTGTAAAATATATTTAATATTATACTCATTTTAAAGGTATGATTTTATTCTTTTTAATGATATTAATTTTATAAAAATTAAATTTATAAATTAAAAGTTATTTGTAATATAATAACAAATTTATAAATGAATAGTATTTTGGAAGATCCTCCATTTTTTCATCCTCCCTCCAAATATGGAGGATGAACTCATTCTTTTTCCAAATAGAGATTATGAATTTGAAGGGTGGGTTGGAGGAGCAAATCCTTCATATTTGAAGATATGGAGGATGGGTTGAAGATGCTCTTAGAGCATGTGGGAGGGGGTGATTTCCCTGACTACGCTATTTGTCACTTTAAGGCGTGTTTTTATCTTAATTCCCATCATAACAGGATAAAGTGGTTTTAGTAATGCCGTTTTTTAGAAAATAGTTTTTGTAAAATCGTGTTTTGTGATTAAAATAATAATAAAATTTGAATATAGAAAACGGATTTAGAAAAATCGGTTTTAATTAAGTTTGTTATTAATTCAAAATTAATTAAAAACGGTTTTGATAAAATCGTTTTTACATTAATTTTTTTTAATTTATATTTTCAACATTAATATTTTTTGACCAAAAATATTTTTAATAAAAAACGGTTTTGGAAAAGTCATTTTTTGACCAAAAATATTTTTAGTAAAAAATGGTTTTGGTAAAACCGTCTTTACATTTTTTTTTAATTTATATTTTCAACATAAATATTTTATTTTTAATAACAAACGGTTTTAGAAAGTCGTTTTTTGACCAAAAATATTTTTACTAAAAAACAATTTTGGTAAAACCTTTTTTACATTAATTTTTTTTTTAATTTATATTTTCAAAATAAATATTTTTTGACCAAAAATATTTTTAATAAAAAACGGTTTTAGAAAAGTCAATTTTTGACCAAAAATATTTTTAATAAAAAACGGTTTTAGAAAAGTCGTTTTTTGACCAAAAATATTTTTACTAAGAAATGGTTTTGGTAAAACCATTTTTATATTAATTTTTTTTTAATTTATATTTTCAACATAAATATTTTTTAACCAAAAATATTTTTAATAAAAAACGGTTTTAGAAAAGTCATTTTTTGACCAAAAATATTTTTACTAAAACCGTTTTTACATTAATTTTTTTTAAAAAACGGTTTTGGAAAAGTCATTTTTTGACCAAAAATATTTTTAGTAAAAAATGGTTTTGGTAAAACCGTCTTTACATTTTTTTTTTAATTTATATTTTCAACATAAATATTTTTTAACCAAAAATATTTTTAATAAAAACGGTTTTAGAAAAGTCATTTTTTGACCAAATATATTTTTACTAAAACCGTTTTTACATTAATTTTTTTTAATTTATATTTTCAACATAAATATTTTTTGACCAAAAATTTCTAGTAAAACCGTTTTTACATTAATTTTTTTTAAAAATATTTTCAACATAATTAAAACGTAATTCTGAGGCTTTTCCTATATTAAGCCAATTTATCAACTTAATTCCCAAACTAGGCTAAAGCTCTATTACAAATCACGCTTTCACTGTTTGGGGCCGAAAATTTGATGAACAATGAAAGCGCTATTAGAAACCACGCTTTCACTGTGCATGTCGTTTAAGTTGTTTTCTGAAGAAAGCGTGGTTGTAAACCACGCTTTCACTGTGCATATTGTTTTAGTTTGTTTTCTGAATAAAACATGATTGTGAATTACACTTTCAATGTTCACTACAAAAAGCGTGGATTGAAACCACGCTTTCACTGTTCACTACAATAAGCGTGGATTGAAACCACGCTGTCACTGTTCATTTAAATTTTTTTTATTTTTTTTTATTAAATTTGTTTTTAATTTTTTTTTTCTGTTGTCATTGTTTTGGTGATAATGTAATTCATTAAAAAAAAAATTTCTTCTGTCTTTGTTTTGGGGTTAGAAGGTGTAATTTAGAAATTTTTTGTCTTTACTAAAGTTGTTTTCATGTAATTTTTTTTTTGTTTTTTGTTTTGTCTTTGTTTTGGGTTAGAAGGTAATAATGTAATTCATAATTTTTTTTTTGGCTTTACTAAAGGCGCTTTCATGTTAAATTTTAATTTTTGTCTTTTGTCTAAATTTTGGGTTAGAAGGTGTTTCGCTTATTTCATAAGACTGATGTTGTGCAATGAATGAATGAATGAATGAATGTAAATGTTATTTGTTTTATTCAATTGGTAGTGTAGTTTTTTGTAAGAATGAGAACGTTATTTGTTATATTCAATAAATAATGGTTACATTATTGGGTTCTCACGATTGAAAAGATGAACAAGTTAAGAGAATGTGTATTTCTCCTAAAATAAATTTAGTCAACATTTTTGTAATAAAACTTAATACATAATATACGAAGTCACTAATTTACTAAATACTCATACAGGCATGAAAACAACATAACTGAAGTTGGAAATGTAACAGTTTTCAGTTACATAGGTAGTACAGACATAAGTCTCCCACAAAAATACATTTTGGACACCATGAACTGAACACACAATACATAAACATAACAGTTAGACAGACAATACTAGGTAGACAATCTGACAAACTCATTACGGAAACACTTAGTCTAACACAGACATTACATATTATTGCATGACCTAATATTGCCGAAGTGTAGACATTAACACCTAATCCACGCTTAAATCGGCAGGTGGATCAGAGTCTGAATAATCCGAAAGCTCAGCGTCAGAGACAAGTTTAGGATCCTCCGTGATACCCTTGATAGCTGCAACATTTGGTTTTGTTTTGTTCTTCTGGGCATCCTTCTTAACTATATATAGCTGCATATCGCGGGCTAACTTACGGCGCATTTAAGAAATCTCACGTTGTAGTGTTTCACATAGTCGATCAACATTATCAGGATCTTCCTTTTGGATCTCAACAGAACGTGCTTTTGGCACCTTCAGTCGATTTTCCCGACATAATCTTTCCATTTTCACTCGCTCTATAAATAGTGTGGGCCACTTGAGACGAGTAGCGTCAGATAAACCATATCCTGTTTGATTGTCAGATGGCTCCATACATGAACCTCCTTGAACTGGATAATACTTGGGCATCAAAAAATATCGCTTCCCAAACCTATCACGATAACCACAAGCATAATCTAAAACAGGTATTCCCACTGTAACGCCCTCAAAATAACAACATTAACCCATCAGATAAGACATGCATTTACATACAAACCAACCACATTCTTTTATTCATTAGAGTTCCATATACATATGTATTACATGTTAACATCAAAACAAAATGCCCTACGGGCTTACAGCTTTCCAAGTTAACACTTGGTTACAACAAAAGAGTACTAACTCGTTTACACATTAAGCCCTTGGCTTGAAGTTACATGTAATACATCAAAAGTTAAGCGACAAAAATATATCACAGTTCTAGGAGTTGATTTTATGTCAGAAAATGTGCGGGCAATCCTTGATCAAGCTGGCTTCTTAGAGGTAGTCTTTTCCTCTTCTTTTCGTGTATTCTTATTTCATCACTTTGTCAGTTACAAATCCAATTCTAAAAGTTAACAGAGTAAAAAGTGCTACTTGGTCAACAAATATTTTAATTGAAGCATAGATTTCATATTTCAAGAACTAATAAATTAACATAATTAAAACATGAAAACCAAAATCCCATAAAATGCATGCATTGAAAACTATTAATGTGAGGTAATTAGTTTTCTATCTCTATGTATATATAATGACTATTTTAATATAATACCTTTGTTCATATAATGAGAAGGGTAAAATTGTTTTTTTAAGACTTTACATTTTTCAGGAATGTTCTGTCACTTGGTTTGTTGCACGAGGAGCAATTAACAAATAGCATTCACACAATCAGTTGGTGTGGAATCCACTTCAATGATTATATAATGGATATTTTATTTAATAGCATCGGTACCCAATTTGTATACATATCATCGGTACCCAATTTCTTGCTCACTGTAAAACTAATGAGTGTTTTTTTGAGGGGTATAAATATGTACTCTATTCTCTGTTAGTTGCAATATTGATCTTTTGCCAATACTTAACATGTGAAATTCAACGGTGCAATACTTAATTGTTGTGGTGCTATCAGATTGGTGGAGAAAGCTTGAGAATTTATAAGCGTGAGATTCAAGAAAATGTTTTGGAAATTGTTGGCATTTCCCCTGAGCAGGTGAGGAGACACTTAACAAATACTGGTTGGGTTGCTCAATTATTAATTACTAGGGCCGTGTTTTATCTCCTACGTTGTAAATTATTTTTATATTCCCATCTAATGCATTATGTAAGTACCAAATTGGAGAAAGTATCCTCTTGTATGTAGATCTTTTGAATTACCTGATATTAATATTATCATGGTTTTCATACTTCTATGGGCCAAAATTTTCATTGTACTACTAACAATCATCAATATATTTTCATGCATTGACCAATTCTTCAAGATATTAGATCACTGTGGTGTGCACACTACATTGAATTGAAACACATGTGATGTTGGCACTTTGGAAAATAGTTCCTGGCAAGTTTTGGGTAGATCACTGTGGTTTGCACACTACTTTCTGATTTTTATTTTCCAAAGCGCCAACATCAC